AAACGATAAAATTTGTTCTTTTCTCCATTTCTTGCTATATCTGTCTCTATAGTATGCATAGAAAGAAGAAAACACCAAAGTTTGTTTCAAGAAGATACTGACTATGGGTAAAAGCAGCCTTTTAACGATTTTTATTTCTGTTTTACATATATTATCTCTGACTACCATGACCCGAAGAGAAAGCCAGAAAGTCATGGTATTTCAGAAAGCTGTCTGAAAACTCATTTGGCTGTTATATTGGAGTAGATACCTACTCTTTCATACGTTCAGCTGTGATATTGGCAGCCTTATAACTCAAAAACTAAACGGTACCTTTTTCTAAAAAACAGCACGTTATAGAGTACAAGTTGTGTACTACAAACTGGCAGAAAAACTGGAGCTTGTTCAAATTTGTTAACTTTTTAATCTGGAAGTTGCTAGAATAAACGCTTTTCCTGACAAAACGAGATTTTCGAGAATTTTGTGATACAAAATTCGCATTGCAAATTTTTAGCTCAGAGAAAATGAGCCGAAATATTTTTTTAAGAGTATGAATGCATCGATAATTCCAAGACTGATAGCGGCTTTAAAAATGCTTACAAGGAACAGTATTAATAAAAAGCAAAAAGAAACGCGATTTTAGTACTAACCGCGGTTTTGAATTGAAAAATTGCGTTTTGTACGTAAACTACGGACAACGATGTATTTTTCGGCAACCGCGCTGAGTCGTGATTATTCGAAAACCGCGCTGTTCATGGTAGGAAACACGCATTTTGGTTTAGATCGCGAATGAACGGGTTGTGCTTAAAAAGGCGATTGATCGCAGTTGAAGTACAACACGAGGCCTTGAATAGAGCGACCGTAATTCTTCTTACGCCACTGTTCGCCTGCGGTGGGAACGGGATGGTGAAAAATCCAAGTTCGCTCCGTCTTCTTCTCTTCCCAGATCAACTATCTTGCTTTTGTCGCGCCGCGATTCGCTATAAAAAGTCGCAACAAGTACGCGTAACGCGATCATGGTTATGATCGCGAAATAAGAGTGATCGCGTTTTTGTCGTGGTCTAAGAATGAAAGTGCTGAATTCGCGACTGTCATGCCGCGATAGCGATTTATTCGCTATTCTTGTGTTATCGTCCTAAAGAAGTCGCGATGTCGTACCACGATCCTGCTGTTCTCGCGAAATCGCGCCATGACCTTCTAGTTCTCGCGAAGTCATGTCGCGATCGCGCATAAATTGCTACTGGAGACCGGGACTTCCATCGCGAATAATACAGTGTCGCGTTGTTCCATTTACGCTTCACCAGGTGTTTGATTCTAGCTAGTTAGCAGGACAGTCCGCGAATGATTACTTTTGTTTACGTAGAGGAGGGGAGGGGTTAGCCAAAGATTACATAACCGTTCAAGGTTTTTTTCTTGCGAAAGAAACTTGTTGGATGTCACATGGTTTGTATTGGATACAAAATTCATCAGTGGAAATTACTCGTGGCTCACATTTCAGTGGCTGAGTGGACAAGATGAGTGGACAAAAGTTAAATGTGAACTTCAGTGGTGTTGAAAACATAATTTAAATCAGAAATTAATCGAGAGAATCGTAATGAGGAGATGGCTAGTCGCTTTAGGAAAAACAAAAGCTTAAACTTTATCATTACTAACTAGTGGCTGGCTGAAGAGCGCCACTTGCGTTGGCTACTGCCACCCCAGTTGCCAGCGCAAGTGGCGCTCTTCGGTCCGCCACTGTTACTAATCAGTTAATATTGTGACTTTTAGAGCAACTTATTTTCTTCATAATGCGGAACCACACTAATATTTATGAGAAATTCAAACATGCTTATTTAGGTGCACATGAAAAGAAGAATCGAAATGTAGGTGCATCTATTTAAATATTAGTATGGTGGTAAACTTTGCTTATTCATATGCTTTTAGCTTGCTTTTAAAAATTTAAATGTTGAATGGAATCAAATTAAAAAAGATTCTGATTTAATTAAAGAAAAAATTGTAGAATATCAATGTCATCGTAAGGTAAAAACACGCAATCTTGATCAGTTTTGGACTAATAGTAAATAAAAATGCTTTAAACCAGCTTATCATTCATACGACGAATGCCAGTCACAAATCTGTACGAGACCTTCGTCGTCTACCTCTTCAATATTAAATGAATTGAATATTGCGGATATCGATGAACCGAATGTACTCAATGAATCAAACGTAATCAATGAAAAAGAAAATGTATCTGTTCTAAAGTCAAAACATGCAGCACCTGTACAAGCAATGAGATTACGTGAACTTAATGATATTAATTCTCAAATTGCAAGCTTAACAACAATATGTGAATTTGGTTTAGCAATCCGTAATTGAAGAAATAGCGACAATAGGAGCAGCAGCAGACGAAAATAGACTAANACAATGTTTGAAAGTACAGTTAATTCTCTAATACAGTACAGTCAGTTCACTTAGGGAGGAAAATAGATTGAGTCATGCGCTCAAAAAAACAAGCCCTGCTAACTGACTGTAGTGGAATGGAGGCATAGAGTTGCTAAAAACATCTAAACGTTGGCATTATGTACCTTGTTTTACTCATTTTTTTCTTCGAGAACATGATGCATTTAAGTCGGTAAACAGCAATTTTGAAGATATAGTCTCCGCTTAAATCCTGTCGGCATATTTCTGTAGAGATGTTGAACTATCTTCTTCACTCTGTTTATAAAAAGTTAACAGTGAGCTGTGATAATGCTAGTGGAAGAAATTTGAGAATGTTTATCCGTAAATACCAGACGCTAATATCAGTTCGTTCCTAGAGCCAATCTGGCATCCTGTGAATGAGACGAAATGGCTGAGCCCCAATCAAGGGGGAAAAAACAACACTACACTACACTACAAGAGATTTTCCACTACACCCCACTACAAGTCCACTACACCCCACTACATGT